GGGCATCTACGCTACTCTAGCTCATCTTCCTCACTTGACCTCCCGCCCACCTGCGTCAATGAAAGCCCATCATCGCCAACATCAACTATCCACACAAAGTCCTCCAAAAGGCCACTTCCTGATGTGCAAGAGGAACCGTTGGAGCGAGACGAACTCGACGAAAGCACCATCTTGGCCGAGCCGTTCGACTTGTACAACTGCTTGTGTAAGTCAAATTTTGCTTCTGATAACTCGTTCGAAACTAACATGCCAAAATAGGTGATGAGCCTTGCATCCACCACGAGAGCTCAGAGACGCTCAACAGCGTGTACCCTGCAGGCTTTGATATCGACTATGACCTTGGATTTTCCAGTGATGGCGATTTTACATCCACGTTGGGTAGAAAGAGGAGTGGAACCGAATCTCCCTTCTCCGGCCTGGCTACACGTTTGGGGTCACGATTCCCACATCTCTCGCGCTGGAAGTCTACAAAGCGAGCACAGTTGACTGCTTCGCCTACCACCGAGCTGACGTTTGAGAACGCTCATCCTATTTCTCGCGCGGCATCATCAAGTCGGTCTTCCTCCTTGTCTGGCCCTACACGGCAGATACTCGACAGGCTCAACGAATACTCAGTCCCTACTCCCGCCACTTCCTTTTGGGAGAGCAGCGAAAGTGTGGACTCTCCGGCTCCCATCGACATTGAAAAGGCCAACAACGAAAGAGAAAGCATCGAGCGTGACAGAGCCCTCGCCGCAACCCCTCTGCTTCCTCCCCTCTTGATGAACAGCCCACCGACAGAAGTCTCTCATCCCAGTCCTCTTCAATCTCCCAGCGTGGATCCGTCAACGCTTTCATTGGAAATCCCCTCGCCTCAGCCGATGGCTCAGATTTCTACGCCCTCGCTTAGCGCGAAGCCGTCAGTGTCTTCTTTCCGCCATGTTCAATCGAGCCAAGAGCTACCAATTGGGTTCCCTTCTATTGTACAGGACCACGACGAGTGGTCGGACCGCCTTGGGCATGCCAACTTCACCATTACTCCGCAGCCTTACCAACCGGTGGAGGCTGACATGGAGACTCTCCGGCTCTTACGAGCCGATTGGGAAGCCGCTCGGGTCAGCTACACCAAGCACCTTGTGCGAACCGGCGAAAACTATAGCGAGACTTCCAAGATCTATGCGCTCACTGAGGCAAAATGGGCCGAGACTGAGAAGAATTGGCGAGCCTTCCACGAGCAGACGATGGATCGCATTGAAGCTGCCAACAAGTCAAGCAGCCAACGCCCAGGAAGCTCCCGCAGCCGCAGTCGTGGTCGCGTCCGCGCCAGCAGTGGCGGCTCTGCCATACTGCGCAGACCTACCCAAGACGATGCCTTTGCCAGTATGCAATGGCGCCGCCTCGAAGACGGCTTACCCACCGCGATTCCTCGACTTATTGATGCCGAGGGCAAGTTCCCCGAGCGCGGTGATGAAGACATTGTCGGGCCTATGGAGCGTGACACGAAAATGATTCGCTCCAGGAGCGAGGAGCGCAAGGGAGGCCGTTTCTGGCGCAACCTGGCCGAGAAGGTTGGCATTCGCAGATAATGAATGCAGCCTTTAGTCAGACACCGCCCCTCCACATATTTTATTTCCGTCGTCACTTCGAACACGGATTTAGCGGCTAAAATATCTCTTGTTACGATTAACGACCCTGAAGCAACGACGATGATAGCGTGTGGCTCACATCGAACATCACCATCTTTTTTTTTCTTTCGATTACATTCTTCACACAGGATACCCGACTATCGTCGCTCATTTTACCACCACGCCTCGACCAGGCCACGTCTTACGACATCTTACGAACCAACTTTTCCTTTTACTGTCTCCTTTCTGGTGTTCACCACCACAAATCTTATTGTTTATGTTTATTATCTAGTACTCTTATTGTTTAAAATAGCAAGCGCCCATGGCGGCGCTGCAAGGCCTGTAGATACTTTCTTTCTTACGGGAGAAACATATGGAGCCACCGGAAGGAGTGTTCAAAAAGAGGGAGAAAAACCTTAGACTTGGGGAAAAACCGCACCGGAGTTGCAGACCTAGGCCCACGGGATAAAGTGGCAGCCTGTTTAGTTGGATTTACTTGGGCGTTTCACAGGCGCAAAGCTCGGCGCTACGGTAGGACCGAGCCCAGCCATCTTGTACAGACTTGTTTCTTTGATTTGGACTCTGCCACATTGGCGAGCCCTGCTGCGACCGTCTTTGGTCGCAGTTTCAAGCCTTCAGCCTTGAGCTGTGAGCTATTGGTGTTGGGTGGTGGATAGACTGCCATCACATGGTGGCCGAAAATAAACCTACTTGAATACCTGGCATTCATCCCAAGCTCTCGCGCTCGTGTTCGTGCCTTGATTCACACCATCTTTGTGATGTATGCCTCGTATGAAGCTCAACATGGTGTGCCTCGTATAGCGGAGAAGTTAGCTTGTCGCATTTCATCAGCCGCTGGGCATGTTGAGGAACCACGACGTCTCCCCTCCCCTCCTCTGAGCTACAACCCGACCCCTCGCTTCGTACCTCTGTCCAGCGCGTCGCGATCGCGACGGATGTAACGCTGTCGATCGCCGGGGCCTGACTACCCCGCGGCAAACGGCCCATCGCCCGGGGGAGGTAGCTAAGGTACATGTAGCCTACTAGTCCTGCCGACTCCCCCGCGCGAGTACTACATGGACGACGAGTGGTATGTATTATTGGTGTCTACTACTTATCGGTATCGCTCAGCAGCTGTCGGCTTTTGACGTGTGCTTGGGTTTATTGGGAGAAGGGATTGGTTTCTTGTATCTGCCGATGACAGGTGCGCGTCGTGCATTGCATGGTGAGGGATGGATAGATTACCATGTTGCAGACGTGCAGACTTGCAACGGCTGTGAATACATCGGAGATGGAGACCGGGGACACGTGAGGTATGTTGAGGCGGCTCTGGGGGGGGACTGGATTCGGTCTGGGCTGGGCTGGGCTGTAGTGGGAGAGGGTTGTGGGCGTTTGACGCCACGTGTTTCAGATGCAGATCGCCGCGACTTTCGCTGGAAAGAGAGTGGGAGGCTGGATGTGTTGGAGATGGAGAGATACTTTGATGTTCGGCTTTGGATGTGAGATGGGGTTGGTTCGGGGAGGATAGGGTGGTTGATGGAGGTATGAGGGGTGCCTTTGTGAAGGCGGCTCTTTGCAGATTATGCTGCGGGTTGCCTCTTTTTGCACTTTTGCTGTCTCCTTCTTCCAGGTGAGGTACGTAAGGTAGATACTCGGCCCGGCTGTTGTGCTTGTCGCTTAGATGTGTTGACTATGGTGGCGCAGCTTCAAGTTCGGCGAGAGTCCAGCGTGTCCCAATCACCCGGGCAGGAGTGACGGAGTCTGGCTCCGGCGGTTGGTGGAGTTGGCCACTTTAGGTACTTGATATGCGGCCAAATCGTCCGCAGGATAAGGTCGATATGAACTTCTTTGGGGTTTGACAGGCCTGGGCCTGTTTGCATAGGGTAGGTGCAGGCGAGAGCAGAATTCGGGAGGCGTTAATGGCTTGTGTTGGTAGGGTCATCTGCGGCTGATGAAACATGATGGCAAAGATAGGTAGATCGCTTGGATGAGATGGCTCCCGGCAAGAGGAGGGGATTAGGATGGAAGCAGCTCGCCGTGCGGAGGGTTTGGAGGTGAGAAGCGAGCGGGATGGATGGATGTCTCTGTTTCTTACTCTTAGTTATCTTCCGGCGGGATTGCGAAATGTGATCAGTCAGGTTTCAACGTCGGAACGGTACGTGGCGGACGGGGATGGGGGGATCTTGGCTTTGGTCGTCGGAGCTGAGCTGAGGGTTTGGGTACGGGTAGGCATGGTGGAGAAAACATGACAGATGTCAAGTGTAAAAATGACCGATACAGACGAGGCTGAATCCGAGCCCAAGAAAGAGAGAGGGAAGAGGGAGGGGATATGCGGGCGTGATGTGGCAATGGGGACGGACATATGCATTGCCGGGACGCCATGCTCCGGGCGCCGGGCGGTGGCTTTTGGGATGACGGAGAATCATTCGTTTTGCTGGCGGACAGTGAGGGGATGGGATGCTATTTATGGCAACGGGTCAGGGATTGATTCCGGGTAGACTGAGAGGACATCCGGATGTCAGATGGTATCTTGATGGAGCAGGTCTTTGGGATGAGACTGTTTTTCCTGGTTTACGGATGTGGGTGGGTCCCGACTGAAGTTCGGACCGGGCCGAGATCGTTGGTGGTGGGGATCGGGTCACGGAGGTTGGATGTGGAGCATGTTCGGATGAGGTGGGTTTGGGTGGCGTGGGGGGTCTACGGTCTATTGCTAGCCTCATCACCATTTTTTGGTCATTTGATGATAGTATGTACTAAGCTTTCGATTGAAAACATGGTATTCAGAATCAAAGGAAAGATCACGCGGAAGGGTAGACCGCCTATCATGCCTCTAATTGCTAGGGCTAAGTAACAACGAGGAATCGGGTTCTAATAGGATCTGTACTGACAAAGCTGCCATTCTTAGAGCCATATCTGTGTTGACCGAAAACAACAGATGATTATTTAGCTACTTCATAGATTACCCGCTCATAGATGGTGATATACCGGTATCGACGAAGACCTTGTACTTCACAGCAGGAAGCATAGGGCTCTATCAGGTTGCTCAGGAATCTGGATGTGAGTGGTTGAACTCAGAAGAAAGCCACCATATTCTTGATTTTTGACGTGTATCCCATTGAAGGTGAAACAGTCCCTACATTGTACATTTTCATACATTATATCAAACATTGTTTTCATCTCTACCGCATTTGCAACCTGAGAACCCACGTGAGGTGCTATGTGGATTGATTAAGGGCCATGGAACTGCCCTCTTCACGCCTTCCGCCTATTTCTACCGCGATTCAATCTCAAGAAACGCCAGTATTCTCTCTGTGATATCCACTAAAGATCTGTACGAAGTCGTGTTAGGTTGAGTACCTATTTACTGTAGTATATTGGCATGGTTTGGTTGGGGTATCATACCTCTCGCCTTGACACAATCTCGTACAGAAGTTTCCCATATGAAGGGTCAGCGCTTGATTTTGTAATAGACCGTAGTGTTAATGTGGCACCATGATCTGATAGTAATTTCGTGATTGGCCAATATGGCCTCAAAATTTCCAGATTCTTTGCTCGTGTTTGATTTTCGCTCCCATATCCGGCGATGAGCAAGCGGTCGACCCAACGTGACCAAATGGTCGAGCCGTCACTCCGGAGCTGAAAGTTAGGGTCCGCTCCGTTTTCCAGGCAAAGCCTGACCATGTCCAATCTGATCTCGCTGATCGAATTTCTGTACAATGCATCCATAAGGAGAGGCCAGTGCAAGTGATGTTCATCGGTTGACGGATAAATCGTGTTTCTGCTCTTGGAGCCACGCAGGAGATTTTTGATTCGCGATAATTTGAACCTGCCGAAGCTGTCAATGGGCTCCTCAGAAAGGCGAGGTTCGAGGCATCCAAAGTGCATCTTGTTCTTGACATATTCCCTTACTCCGAGCCGTACCGTAAGTGATAGGAAGCTAGATCCCTTGGCATTTTCGTGTTTCTCGTTCAAAGGAAAGTCTGTGTCTTTGACCGAACGTAAGAAATTTGCGCGAACGACTTCGTCGCTGCCGAACACTCGTGTAGATGCTTCACACAGAGAGTCGAGCAAGTTGATCATAATCTGCACGTTCTCTGGCTTAACTTCCGAGGCTGCTTTCAAACAGCGTGAGACGAAGACTCTCATGGCCTGAAGTCTGTGCTCCTTCAACAATTCCAGGTATTTGTCGTCTTGGAGAGATTCATTCCTGTCTTCAATCCGGCTATTCTGAAATCCCAACAAATATGCAAAGCACATGCGGATATGGCAGTCAAAACCTGACGTTGCGTCTCTAATCTTCGTATTGACCTTTGGGCGGAGAGTGAAGTCCCTGACAGTTTTATGGAGATATTGTACTGATCCATAGCTTGAAGATGGCGGCACCGCCACCTCAAGGAGTCCTAGACAACGACTGTTGATTCTACGCCTCATTGTCTCGGTTCGCTCGCGCAGCTCAGCCTTTGAGTACTCCCGAATCGGTAGTTTGGTCAGGTTCTCAATTTCTTCATCTGCAAAGCCGAAGAGAATAACGGGAGGCGATATTTTCCAAGCTTCCAAGAGTCGGAAGTATTGTGCTGCATGCTGGAAGTAGAATGGATCTAGGGAGTTCAGAATCGCGTTGTAGAGGTTTTCCAACTCCGGGGGAAGTAGATCGAGTCTTCTTTGCATGTCGGAGACTCTGTCGTCATTTTCCATTCCGGACAGAAGAGATTTGACGACAAGACTAACCCATAGGAAAACCCCGACCGCTTTGGTAGCGATGTTGTCTTCTAATTGTTCGGCGTACTCAGGTTCCCTTATAGATAATCGCCTAAACCCTTCTTCCTCAGAGAATCTCTTCGCAATGAACTTTCTGATGTCATTGTAAGTCAAGTCTTCGAGCTTCAAACTAGGCCTATGCTGGAAGGCTTCCTCAAAGACAACCCATGGGCGACTAGAAACGCACACCTTGACATTGGGGCATTGTAAGAAGACCTCGATCAACGCGATGAGTTTCTCCAGGTCTCCAGAAAACTCATCGAGCCCGTCAATGAAAAGACAGAGGTTTCGTTCTTTCTGGGCTTCTGTGACCACAAGTCTTATCATTGCTTCCAGTTCGGCCTCTGTCAGACGGGAGGGCTTTTCATTGAATAGAGACATTGCTTCCCAAGTGACAGGCGCCACTCGAGGTATGATCTCAGGGCAATGTTGAAGGATTTGGAAGATAAGCGACATGTAGAGGCCTTTAGGCGACGCTTCCAGCTCATTTCCAGATGCCCAAAAGTAGAAAGATGCGATGATCAGGGGTCGGCTTCCAGCCCACTCCATTAAATCGTTGCGGCATCGCTCGAACCGAGCACCACGTGAAACGGGAGTATCCGTCGTATTTTGAGAATGGTATTCCGATACCGGACTACAGATGAACTTCATCAGGGTAGACTTGCCTGAACCGGCTTTCCCTGTGATCCAATAAAGCTTACTATCGGACTTGAGCCAATCTTTGAAGTTTGACCACTTTTCGGAACCTGCTGAAGGGTGCTCAAATATCCAGCGGAACGTCTCTTGGTGGGCTTCAATGATTCTCGAGTGCCGATCATCCATGACCTTGTAAGCGAAGCTTGCCAAAAATACAGCCCGAAGTCGCATTTCTCGATTACGAGATAAGGTGATTGGTGGACGGTCTCCGTCTCCGTCGTAGTTCACACTGGCTGTTGTCAAATGGATTCGCTGAAGCACTCCACGTCGCAACTCCACTGCGCTCTTTTGTCGCTCTTCTGGTTCAGCGTCGAGAGAACGAACGATAAAAGCGATAACCGCATCGCCTGGTGCATACCATGCAGTGTCCTCGCCTTCATTGAGCGAGGTGCTTTTGAAGGCCCCGGTGCTTTCCTCTTGGATGATGTCAAGCCTCTCGAGAATGGCAATTTGTTGCCCTTCTGACTTCGTCGCGTAGTCCCTGGGAAGATGCAGTTAGCGTCAGAAAATAGCTCGAAGTCCACTCTTGAAGAGGCGAATATCATGAGGGAAGAATGGATATATTTGGGGCATCATGAGGACATGGCGTTTATCGTACCTCAGTGAGTTCAGGAGTGCGGTGTTCAAATTCTGGTTCAAAGACGCAACCTCGCTCCTCAAACTCTCAATCTTGTCCCGATTCCATGTTGCCTTAAATGCGTTGACAACAACACCGCGCGCTGTCTTATTATCTGTTATGCCGATTCGATCCAGGGAGTTTTTGATTTCTGCAAAGTGTCTGGTGCATGCGTTTGCAACCTCTGTGACCTCTGGGTGCTGTAGTAACAGCAGTGACCGTTCAGATTCGGGGATTTGCAGCCGCTCCAAAGCAGCCTGTTGGCTTTCCACAAGATAGCGAAGACTCTGCAAGTCACCAGGCGCGCTCCCGCCCGCACGATGGATCTCGCGGCATTTGTTCCCAAACTTGGTCGCAAATTCCACGAATTGTAGGACGTTGCCGGCGATGGCGAAAGCAGCAGCGCCTTCCGCCATGTTATCAATGATGTAGCGCGTTTCCGGATTGCTACGCGATACTTTCTGATGAGCAGGCAAGCAATCACGCGGGTAGCACAGGAAATAAATAGGGGACGGGGTGGCGGACCAGAGAGCCTGATTCTCAGCCCTCGCACCATCATCTGCTCCGCCTCAAGATTGAGACAATGGGGTTCATCAGCAGGCTCCCGACATGTGCAGCCTGTGCTAGATTGGCAGTGGCTGGGTCGGTTGGCTTATGCACTTCGCTGTCTTCTGCCACCCTCAGTTGGATATCGAATCGTTATTGGCTATTCGTGCTTGGGGGTGCAGCTTAGCCACTACATAAAGTACTTCGCACTTTTTGATTGTGAAGAAGCTAGCAGCCTGCAAATATTACTCGTTGCTCTGAGCCCGGCTTGTGGGCATTGTTGAGACGATCTTCACAATCAAGAGCGACGACCTGTGAGGTGAGAAAGATTTTGTCAAAGCAACATACGGATTTCCCCTAGTTTCCTCAGAGCAGTCCTTAACTCATCAACCACCAAGTTCAATATGCAGACTCGTTCTCCTGGACCATACAACCTGAGCTAGACGGGCGATCTGTTTTGAGCGTCTACGTGTAACAACTACCTCTACATTGTAGATCGCCCCATCGTATCATTCATGGCGTCGCTTTCCCTGTCCCGCTTGCAGTACATGTGAGTAATTCAAGATCACTACCTTACTTCATAGATAAAAACATAAGCACAGCTCCAAATGAAGTCGCCAATCTCTCTGAATGCATTTAATTTGAGTAGACTGAGAAAAGACATACTTTCTCCACGCGATCGTATCATGAGTCGAAGACCATTCATGTTACTTTCCCCACACTTGAACGAAATCACTCCCTCTTGATGTGATTGCACCACATCATGCCCTTGAAAAATACCCATCAGCCTGTTCAGCCTCATCTCCAAGCTGTTTGTGCACAATCTTATCGTCAACCGTTACCTTTGTGTTCTCGGATTCTGTTAAGAGTCTATGAAACGCCTTGAACCGATTACGCATGACGATGCCAAGCATTATGGGAAGTCCAGCATCCTCAGTTTTTTGCCGTTTCAACTATAACCTGCGTGCAAGTCTAGTTGATCGCACTTCTTGCAACTTTCAGGCATTTCTTCTGTGATGCCAAATGCGTAGTACTCCTGACCGGAAACCTTAGCATAACCATGATGATGCTGCTTCAGTTGCAACTCCAGTCCATGTGGCATACTGTATACTATCTCTTGCCTCTCTCTCCATGAACATCGATATTCAAAGGATCGTCATGTTTTGAGCCGTCAACTTTACTGCTGTTTGCTTTATGATGTAAAAGCCGATTGGTCGAGGACCACGACACAATGTCTACGATGGAGAGATGATCTCGAGGAGTGCGGCGAAAGACAGAGCCAAGATATAGCACGGATACGACAAGACCGGCACATAACGCGAGTCCGGCGATGACGGCAATATATAGCGGCATTGAGAAACTCTAAAAATGCTGCCGCGCACTTCGGAGTCACACGGGCTGACTACATACATAAGACTTTGTCTTGTACAGAGACTCTTCGTACATATCACTGATTACCATACAAAGAGATAATCGACTCGCCATGGCCAGCACAATCGGGACTAAAGCTACCCGACGGCCGAAGCTCCTCTTGTAACATCCTTTTGAACCTACCGCTGCTATTATCAACCACGAAAAGGTCAAATCTGCATGAAAATCCGGGGGCATTCTGCAAGCTTGTAGCTGTCCTTTCCCTTGGTATTTACCTTTTCTTGACGCTTTTTGTTTGTGAAGGGGTTGCCGCGGTTCTGCGTGAAGGATGGCGCTGGAGAGGCGACATGGACTTGCAGAGGCCTTGAACACCGGCAGGATGTACTCCAGAAACCTTGCTTCAGTAAATTAGCCTTCCAAGAGACCGAACATGGGAAGGTTACTGGCAGCGACATGCTATGGTTTTGATAGGGAAGAATATATGATAATCTGGAGATACGAGCCGCCTATTGATGTGCAAGCTTTCTGCGGGGAAAAGTCATTCGACCGTGGAAAAACGGTATTGAAGACGAATTCTCATAAAGTGCACCGGCCACGGCGATCTATGGCTGGCGCTGGAGCGAGATCAGCGCAAGTCTCTCCCATGGATGGGAGGAAGATTGAAGAGTTCCAATTGCCGATCGCCAAGATCCAGAAATCACCACGAATTAAGCATTTGAAAGGTAAACCGAGCTTGCTACTGCGTGTACTCAACCGGTGCCATGAGAAAAGTGATGAAGGTTGGCTATCTATATGGAAATTAAGGACAAAGTTCAAGCAAAGTATGGTTGGCCGAGCAAAAGCCTATATGCGCGAACCTCCGGACATTGCTTGACGGAGTGCACGTGGCGAGTGTAAGTTCTGAAATAGTTTACACTATCACAGCATCGCCCAACAGTCAAAATAGACACAAGAAACATCTTAGTTAACAATCTACTTGGTTCGCATGAGGTCAGCAAGCTATTCAAGTCTTGAGTAAAGTGTGCACAGTAGTTGTAGGTCCAAAAAAGCTGCAGCCGAACCTTCCATCCTTGCCAAACTTTAACGGAGAATATGACAAACAGGATAAATCACCGACGACGAACCACAGAACCTAGGCCTCTCTACCAGGTTGTCGCGTGCAGAGTGAGCTGTCAGTCAGTCACGGCAAGTTAAGCGCAGCGTTGCGTCCGATTCAATCCCCGTGAGTATCACCTTGGCGCGCGCGGATAACTCAGTCTCGACCTGCGGCGCCAGGAACATCCATTTTTGGTGCTGTGCCTGTGAGAGGTAAATTCAAACGTCTAGGGGCCGGTTCGTCGGTTGGAAATAGAATGGACTGTTTGACATTGATGGTGGGTTGGGTGGAGATCCATCGTCTTAGCACCGACATTAAGTTCCAGATTGTGCCTGGCCGATCCGGGGTCCAATCGGTAGCGCATGAACGACAGCGGGAGAGTAACGATAGTGCCGAGTCATTGGTCATAAACAAAATACTGTTAATTGTCAGCCAAATACCAAGCTGTTGCGAAAACGAGGCCCCTTATTGGACCGAGATGAGTTCCGAATCAGGAGTCGCTAAGAAAACGTGTGCTGGCAAGGCTCCTTCTTGATGCCGGCCGGCGCGCCGGTGCCCCGGAATAGTTCATGTTAAGACTCAAGGCCCCTCCGGGTCCCACCCGGCCGCCAGTAGCGGCAGCGAATGATGGGATGACAGCCCCCAAAAAGCCATCTACTTGGTAAGCGACTTTATCTTAACACCCGTTTGCTAAGATGGGGAAACCTCATGACTATGGTGCAATTGGATGCTGAAAATAGTGTCTTCCTTGTCCTAATCCACTCGTAGTAGCGCGCGGTCACTTAGACTTGGAATAGAGATTGTGATCTGTACAGGACGAACCTTCTAAGCGAAGGTCATAATGGCCTCTTAATATGACTTTAGGAAAGATATAAAGAAGATTGAGATCTCATCTCATTGAAGAGAAATATTCTAGATCATCATCCGATCCACTACACATCAAGCGCAAGCGCCATTCTTCTTTTCCATCTCACCTTTATCTTTTTCTTATTCCTTTCTCCCATTCCTTATTCCAGTCCTTCTCGACGAAGCTTTTCAAAATGACGACTAAGCAGGTTCTGTCTCTTCTTCCTCTTCTCTTCAGCGCGGGCTGGTCATCCCCGGCGCCGTTCCCTCCTAAGGGAGGTTACCCCGGCGGTTTCCCGTCTCCTGATGGCAAACCAGGCTTTGCGCCTTCCGGAGCCGTCCCGTCGTTTCCTCAGGAGTCTGGTGTCGCGACCCCGGTCAACAACGCCCTCAAGCCTGCCGCCAGCACGACCCCAGGCAAGGGGGGCAACAACACAGGCGGCGGCCCGACCCTCCCCGCCGGCTACGCAAAGATCGTCTTCGAGGACGACTTCTCGACGCAAAAGGCCGGCGCCCTGCCTGACTCGTCAAAGTGGACCTTTGACGTCGGCACTGGCTACCCCGGCGGCGCCACCAACTGGGGTACGAACGAGATCCAGACCTACACCAAGGACACCAAGAACATTGCCATCTCGGAGAGTGGCACCCTAACCATCACGCCCATCAAGACCGGCGAAGCGTGGACCTCATCTCGTATCGAGACCAACGCCGCGTCGGACTTCACCTGCCCGGCTAAGGGCAAGCTGCGCATGGAGGCAAGCATCATGATTCCGGCTTCGAACCCGGCAACGCAGTCCGGCATCTGGCCCGCCTTCTGGTCCATGGGCTCCGCCTTCCGCACAAATGTCACCTCGTGGCCCAGCGTCGGCGAGATCGACATGCTCGAGGTCTCCAACGGTGTCGGCACGGTGTTCCAGACGGCTCACTGCGGTGTTATCAACGGCGGCCCATGCAACGAGAAGACTGGTCTCAGCTCCAGCGCCGAGTTCCCGCGCGGCGAGTTTGTCAAGATTGCCTGCGAGGTTGATCGGTCTGCCGGCGGCGGTTTCGCCACTGAAAAGCTTGTGTGGTACCTCAACGACAAGGTGACCAAGACCATCACGGGCCAGGAGATTGGCGACGAGGCTGTGTGGAAGAACCTTGCTCAGACCCCCAAGATGATCCTGCTCAACGTTGCTATCGGTGGCGAGTTCCCTGATGCTAAGGCTGGTACCAAGACGCCCAATGCTCAGACTGTCGGCGGCAAGGATTCCCGTATGGAGGTCAAATACGTTGCTGTCTACAGCACTTAGATACCTTATTTCTTGCCATCTATTGGTGGCGCCTGTTTACTTCTCTTCACACTGGTCTTGCTCTGATCTAGACATCGGCGCTGACAGACATTTGCATGGCAACTTGAAGCGGCTTTGATATTGTTTGCTTGGTTTGTTGGAGTTTGCGAGCGAGTCTTGTTTTTGTATATTAGCATAAGTACGTACGCAAATGAAAGAACACTCAGACCACTACCTCTATCCTCTCTTCTCTCTATGAATCGGAACGACTTTATTTGGGCCAGAT